TACCTATAATGTTAATATCTATATGCTGCTTTTTGAACAGTTAAGGGATATTAATACTTTGTATACTATCCTTCTGCCTCTTTTACTGCCTTCACTCAATGAGATATTATAGCAGAAAGATTATATAGAATGCTATCATCAATTACATTTCATGTCTTCTTAACTGTCTTTATTAAAGCTCTTTTTATAGCTACTGTATTTGATGCATGCTTCAGCTCTGAATGCAGCTTATAGATTTCCTGCTTCAACAATATTCAAAAATTCTCTATAGAATTTAAATCTGAAGAATATAAAGATCAAAACATAATCTCTGTATTCATCTCCTTAAAAACCTCCTTAACTATATGAGTTGTATAAACCCTGGCTCCATCATGCATAAATATATCCCCCTCTCTCACGAATTCAAGTAAAAAGATTGAAAGTCTGCTTTCAAAGAATTGTAACATGAGCTTGTATTAAGAGAAAAATAAGAGAATCATGTTTGCAAAAATGGCAAGATATCTGATTTTTACAAAGAAAGTGTGAGGGGTGATGACAGTGTGAAGAGTGAATAGTAGAAGATAATATATAGTATAGTGGAAGATAATAATAATTATAGTAGTAGTATAGTTGAAGTTGTAATTGTAGTTGTAGTTGTAGTTGTAGTTGTAGTTGTAGTTGTAGTTGTAGTTGTAGTTGTAGTTTGTAGTTGTAGCTAATCGCTGAAGAGGAAAAGAAAGAGAAAGAAGATGTGCGAAATACATGCATCCATATATATATACATATAGAAATAGTGGTAGCGAGAGTATAATGGAAAGAGGTAAGAATAGACGAAGATATAAACAAAGATAATAATAAGGAAATAATAAACGAGTGTATTACAGAAAGAGTATACATTATTCCATGTTTGAAATTAAATCAAAATGGAACACTGATTTAATAAAATGTAAAAAGAAACTTTTTACTACAATAATGCAGCTAAAGCTTGAATATGGTTATTTTAAATCATATTTAACAAAGATTAGAAATGATTTAAATGATTTATATTCAGATTGTCAGTTATATGAAAATCCAGAGCATCTTCTTTTACTTTGTACAAAGCATATAGAGTTAAGATTGAGATTAAAAGAGAAGTTTGAATTGAAGTAGTTAAATTTAAAACTTTTATTCAATACAAAACTGGAAATGAATTCTTGATTGAATATTTGAAAGAATCAAATATTGCTACAAAATTTCAATTGAAAAACTTAATTTGATAATAAATTCAATTTTTGTTTTTTTTTTTCTTTTATTTCTATATATTTACTTTAATTTTTGTTTTTATTTTTATTTTTGTTTTGTTACTTTTACTTTGAAATTTGTTTTATTTTGATTATTTTCGATTTTGACTTGTTTTGAAAAGTTTGATTTGTTAATGCTTTCTTTTCTTTTAATAGCTGTTGTTTTTTATACTCTTTATTTCATTTGTTTTAAATTGAATGTATTAATCTATTGTCATTCTTTTGACATTCTTTTTTAAATTGAATAGTTTAAATAGTTGTTTGATTCTGGGCTAGAATTCTGCTATTGCATATATTAAATTGATTTTATATATTAGCTTATTCTTAAGTTGAAAAATCCTGAAGTATTTCAGATAGATGTTATAGTCATTGATTGTATACATCTATAATAAAAGAATAATAATAATAATAATAATGTGCCATGTGTAAACCTCTTAAGATTTGAATGGATATTTTTGATAAAGGTGAGACTTTTGAAACTGAAAATGATTTATTCTCATACATCAGCAAGAAACTTATCATAATTATTACAGATAATGCAACACAAATGAAATAGATTTTTCTATTAAAATGCAAAAATGAGATGTTGAAATATTTATAAATCTTCAACCAATTCATCAAGAACCTGCTGAGCTGTGGCATTGCAATTATACACTCTGATCACAGTGAATTGAATTTGAAAACGGCTATGGCTTATATGCTTGGTGAGAGGATTAAATAAGAACCCACTCTCTTTCATACTCTACAACAAGATGAAATATTCAAATATTCAATTGAGTTGATTATTGAGAAAATCTGAGAATTATTAATAAACTCTTTCACTTCTGAAAAAATATGGGATGAGGTGGTTATTGCAGCCACGGAGCTGCTCAATCTTATGCCAACTTTCATGATTTTATATGAAAGCGCTGAAAATATGAAGCTGATTATCTCATATGAGATATAACTTAAAGCACTTTTTGTCAGCCTTGAAATTCATTGTTGAAATTGCAAGATGTTTCTGAAAATAGTTTCTAAGCTCATGAATAACATGGCTTCTTGCTTATTAGAGTTAATTTTTGTAGATTACAATGGCTTTATCAATTACAGATTGATTGACCCTTTCAATTCATGTCTATATATATTTAAAAATGTCATTTTTCAGAAGAATCTTCATTTTATGAATTCATCAACTCCGATCACTGAGCATCGGAAAATTTTATACACAGCAGCTTATCAGACAGCTGCAATGATTTCTTCACTGATTCTTTCACTGACTTCTGATCTGATTTCTTCAGTTAATGATTTATTCATCACTGAAGAAGTCTAACCCTTCCATCTGCTATTTTTAATCCCCATCAATAATTGATAAATAGACTATGAAATATCAATGAGAATCCTGATTTTTTTAATGCAGAATATACCGATTTCCTCTAATCTTTTTATTAAGATTGAGAATACCTTAACAATTACAGAGAATAATGATTCAGTAAAGGAATCTTCAATGAGAGACAGTTTTGATGATTTGTTTTTCAATTTTGATATATATAAATTGCTGATTTTGAAAAATCTCACATAAATCAAAACTTCTACTGAATGGAAATATTACTATTGAGTTTATGTTAAAAAAATTTACTGTTTGAAGTAGATTGATATCTGATGATTAATTGAAAAAATCTCTAATATAGTGGTTCTTCAAAATCAATAAATGTTTAATAAAAAGTGCAATAATATAAACAAAATTGTCTGCTATAAGATCCACTAAATAATCTATGATAATTATCAATAAAAAAATGTCAATTATTTAGAAATCTTTACATTTGTCATTTCTGCCTTTATATTTTGAACTCTTATGACAATCTTAGCATTCTGAAGATAGCACATTCTGCAAATCAATATGATAACTGCATTTTTAAACTATAAGAGATAGGCTATAAGAGTAATTACAAGAGTAGTGTTCAGTACGCACAAAAGATATTAAGAAGGTAGCAATCTCTATTGTTCAAAGCTAATCGCTGATCTTCTAAGATCTACGGATATCAGCGAGCATTATATAGACAATGTTGCCACCACGTTACATTTATCACGATTGATTCTGGCGTGTTCTGTGTTCTTCTATCGCCACGTAGCTATTCCTAATATAGATATCTCCGTTGCGCCTATTACATTAACACCCAACTGTCAATTAATAAATAAATATATATAAATCAATCTACAAACTTCTGTGAAAATTGTGATAATCTTGTTTGTAAATTAATGCAGAGACTCTGCAGTCTAAATCAAGCAGCACTTTTATAATATGAGAAATTATGAAAAATGTTATTGAAATCAGACTTTTGCATCAGCTTTTATGATGCTGATTTTTTTATTCATGATATAAAGATGGTCTATATAATTGTATATATGAATGATATTCTTTTATACAGCTTGAGAATCAAAGATCTAAACTCCATCAAGACTGAAATTGCAGTCAATTATGAGATTAAGAATGTGAGGGATTCAAACTGCTATTTGAATATGAAAATTGAAAGGAATTTTAGTTTATTTACATTGTTTTAATCTCTTTTCATTAAGAATCTTCTGAAGAAATTTTCAATAAATGATTACCACTTTACATCTACTTCTATAAAGAAGAATGTTAATTTTATGAATGATATTGAGAAGCTGATTGTCTATACAATAAATTTTACTCTATATTTCTATCAATCAAATATTGAATTTCTACAATACTTTGCAATTAATACACATTCTGATGTTAGTTTTGGTGCCAGCTTTTTCAGATGATTCAGCACTCACTCTATATTTAAAAATTAAACTGCATTCAAACACACACTCTGATATTTGCAGAGCTTAATCAATGAGAGTATTATCTTCCACAAAAACACTGATATTGAATCTGTGGTGTACACTAACACTGATTGAATTGGTAGAGATCTGAAATTTCATTCAATCACTGATTATATCATATATATGATAGATGACTCTGTTGTCTGATGAAGTTGTTGATAAATTAAAATTTTCAAATCATCAATCAAAACTGAATATATTGCATCTTCTGAAGCTGCTTATGAGCTCATCTACCTACATGAACTTCTAGAAGATGCTGGCTTCATGCCATCCCATTTCAATAATCTGAATGTTTGATGATTTGCTCAATTCTCACTTCAGTTAATGATTTTGCTTATATTATTTATACTGATAATAAATCTGCCATAGAGCTATTCTCTTCTGAAGCAATTCCATGTTGTTCTAAGCATACAGAAGTTTGATTTCATATCCTTTGAGATCTCATCTACAAGAATGAAATATCAGTCTGATATGTCCCTTCTATTGAGAACACAGCAGACAGATTAATCAAGCCACTTGGAACATTGAAATATATACATTGAAAGGAGATTATTAAGATGAAGGATAGAGGTGATAAAATGAGTGGAATTCTTGCTGGTTTTTTCATTATTGCGCTTTTTCCCAGCTGCTTATGTATCTATACTTGTTTGAAGGGCAAATTTTGTATGTAGCATCGTGTACAGTTACTCTGAGAGTAGGGCTGTGAGACCTGCAGGTCTTAACTTATTAATCCTTCCACCATATAACTTCCCACTTAGCTAGCAACCTTTTCAATCAAGCAAGCTTTACACCTTCCACAGATACCAGGGAAGTCTGTTTGTACTACTCCATCAATCACACCCCAAACATGAGAAATCGTTTCCTTGTGAAAAAATTTATTCCCAATTGAATTGTCTTTTGATGAAACTCTTGGTACCTGCTCTACCAAACAAATATTTTGTTCTTAAACTTGTACGATATTTGTATCGAGGTCCCTGAGAGTGACTTCCACAGGGTACGCATTATCCTTCCCATCGTGCTTAAACCCCAAAACGGTCGGCCGGTCGACAGTGGTTCCGTGCTTGGCCAGTTCCTTTATGAAACCCTTTTCAGTATGTCCTTGGTGTAACAATGTGGGCGAATGGGTATCTGGTGTCGATGAATGAGGGGCAGCTAGGCCAAATCCCCGTCCGTTGTATGCCTGTACCATCCGGTAAAGGGTTCCAGAACGCAACATCATAAGCCCTAGCGGGCTCGCGCGCCATGATATTGCGTTTTAAGTCCATATTTCGTAGTAGTTCTAATGAACAAAGCTGAATGCCGCCAGCACGGCCGGTCTTGGTGGGTAATGGGCGTTTGTCAATATGTTTGATTTTATACCCCCATTTGGAGAAGCATGAGGAGGCGAGAGGCCCGACAGGACCAGAGCCAATGATGACAACACCATACTTGTCTGCTGAATGAGACATCCTGACCTCCTGGGAATTTTGGGGCACTCGAAGGATCAACGGGTGTTATAATAGGAATAATAGGAGGTTTGGGTAGAGAGATACATTTCCACTCTCCTAGAGATACTAGGAATCACCAAGAAAATACCAGCATTAAATATTCAACCACACCGATGTAAAAACACGGGTTGCTGTTATATATATGTACGTAAAACGTTGGTATCATTTCATTATATAGCTGCGAAAAGCTGCACTTTGGCCTTGACATGGAGACGTCTTTGATGAGGGGAAACCTTCATTACGACGGTTTCTGCGATGCGGGGGAATAGCTGCGACGACTGCCGGCTTGCACCCGCAAGGAAGTGGTTGGGTTGGGCGCAATTCCACTCGGTTGAACTTGTGCTGCAGAGTCGGAGCTGGCATTGTAAATAGTGTACAGATCACGTGGAAGTGAGATTTTCTCTAAACAAGCGTAGGGATTCGCTCCGCAGGTGAAGGACCCAGGACTCAAGTCTGGACTATACACTCGTGGCAGGTGTGAGCTATGATCTTGCTATAGCTTCCACCGTGTTTAGGGAGCGGATCTTAACTGGCAATGTCTGCTGGTCAGTTCGCGTTGAAGTGAGATGCAAATTGCGCTATTATCTTCAGATGATTCGGAACTATTTCGACTATCCCAGGAGCTCACAGATATGAGGATGGCGCACATTAAAATTCCCTATCTCAGTTTTGGCCTTTCCCAAGCCGATGAACCCCTTGGCTCGGCAACGGTATAATATACCGTGTGGAAATTTTGGGCGCTATCACTATTGTTACGGCAGCCTATATTATACCGATCCTGGTGATAGGCAGATATTTGGAAAAAATCTGGCTTGGGTTTTTGGATATTCACATAATGAGATAACAGTGGTGGACAAAGCAAGCATGCTCGCAAATTGAATTGTGTTGAAGGATTTCAATACCTTACTATTCACCAATACTCTATGGACCTTATTGAACCCCATTCTTGAATTCAATATGGTTAATGATGGGTACCTCCTGTGCCTCCAGTGAGCAAGGCCCTGAATCTGAGATATTACAAAAGCGGCATCAAGTGTTCGGTGAAAGGACTCTGGTTTTTGGTATGTTGTTGATTTATATAGGGAATTTTGTTTTAGCTGTCCATTTGGTTCCAGCAACTTGATAAAATCTAAACTATAAAGACCTGCCTTATAAAGACAAGTGGATATCTGTTGTTTTCCTCTTCTTGGGGCATGTCCTTTGTTGCCAGCAGAAACTAATAACCTTCGACATTCAGCTGCGTTAATTTTTTGAGGGGTTCTATTGTTGGTTCGAAGCTCCAGTTGTAGCTTGTTGATATCCGCCGGGGCAACCAAGTGTCCGTCGTGGTTGTTGACGTCTCTCCCACGGTTCCGAACACTCGAAAGCTCTAGTATACCACTTCATTCAGAATGGAGAATCGATTCAGTGGAAGCGCTTATTCTGAACACGAAGACGCCTCTATTGAGTGTATTCGTGGACTTGCGATCAACCGCAGCAGAGCCCAACATCTACACGGTGGAGCAGATACGCTTCAAACACAACAGTATACAGCTCAAAACCCCTACCCCCAGTCTGGAGCTTCCCAGTGTATCTGTCTACTCCCAATCTTCGTCTGGCTCTCCAACCAAAGACACCTTTCGCTTGCTGACGCGTGAAATCCTGAACAATCCGCTGTTAAAATCGGTCAAAAATACAGGAAAGCCTGTTTTGATGCTCGATCCGGAGAAGTTCAATCCGATGCACTCGGTGGAGGTGCCGATCGTATACGATAAGTAAGTTGGCGTCATTATATCTTGTGGAAGCAATGCTAACATGTTATTAGTCATTCTTCCTATAATAGCGCGGGCAATTCCAGCCGGTCTGCGGAAGGATGTGAAATAATGTGGCCATTTGGCCCAGAGACACCTGAAACTGCACAAGCAATTCCACCAAAGGCATTTTCATATCCAGTTGATGCAAATCACTACAACAGACGCCTCCCTATTTCCAAGTCTGAGGGAAACAATGTCAAGTCTCTCGATGGTAATACGAACTATGACGACGCGTCATATGGTGAAGATCGCTATTACCAGGACTGGAAACCTTCAGCAAACGTGTCCCCCGGGCGCCAGAAACAGCGATCTCGATCCCCAGATCGAGGACGCGGCAGAGGGAGATCTTTGTCTCCTGTCAAGATCCTTGAGGATCTTGACGAGAATTCAATACTCGAATTTCTACCAAGCCCAATGAAAAGGCCTCGATCACCGCATAAAAAGCTGTTCGGTGAAAATGGTTGGCTAGGTCGCAGTCCTTCCCTGAAGGAAAGTCCTTCTGAGAAGAACAAAAGGCCTGGTTTCAAGGCGCTGGGTGAGAAGATCAAACAGCGCGTTGAGGATATCGTAAGTACATAAACATTTTCGATCCATGGGGATTTCCTGAAGCACTGCGAGAGACCGTTTTTCAATCTAACTATTCGGTTTACAGACAGGAGACGTGAAGAAATCCAAAGAACGGTTTCAATCAACCTTCCCCATTTCCTTGGACCCTCCAACCCAGGCAAAATTGTACTCCGAGGTAGAGCTTATGATATGTGTGACGGCCAACAAGTTCCTTCTCGACCAACACAAGGAGGGTCGCATATCGGTGGAATCGGTTACCAAAGTCACCAATTTCTGGGCGTCAAAGAATCGTCCGCAGGTCGTGCAGTTTCAATTCGACCAGCTCACCCAGCGTGACCTCGTCATCTATAACCTACGTACGTTCAAATTTCATGGCGAATGTGCACAGAATGTGGTAGCTCTCAATGCCACCTTGCGTAATTGGAAGGCGATCGCCAAGGAGATGAGTGTTCGTACCTTTTGCACTCCAGATAGCGTCATTAGAAAGCATATGCATGATACGCACAAGATCCTGGAGATGCTCGGCGCGCCTATTGTCACCTTCCTCGCGTTTCAGGAGCTTCAGGTCAACACACTTTCGCTCATGAAACAGGAGCAGGAGAAGAAGATGCAAGCAATGGGGAGGCATGGTGTGACGAGAGAGTATCATCCACCTTCCCTATCCCAGCATGACAACGAAGATAAAGGAAGATCCCATGGAGGAAACCGCGAGTGAGGTCATCTAATGCATTGATCAACCAGCGTTGTTTCATCCTAAAGTTCTGTACAATTCGTTCTTCTTTTCGCGATGGTTAACTTTAGCGGTGGCGTGTTTGGAGTGAGTTTCCCTGTTGTTTCTGGCGATTTTCATGCCTTTGGAACCAGGAAATGTGTCTAATTTTCGCTCCATTCTCTGGAAGCATTTGTGACAAAGTAGAACACTGTAGTTAATAGTAGTTGTTACGGATCCGTAATTAATAAGGTTAACAAAACACATTTGAGGTTCGCCTGATCACGTTATGACCATGCTCGATTATATAATCCTGGACAGATGACGTTTTTATGGCCGATGGATTGATTTCTAACTTACAACAGTATATAACTCCCATGACAGGTATGAGTTGCTCAATTTTGCAAGAGAGATTAACGGTTATTCCCGCTCCTGTACAGCTATCTCAACGCTCTTCGTGCAGTTAAGAGGGAGAGTGCCTATCCTGCACCTTCATACTATTTCCCACGCGGTTCTTGAAGGCGCTCAAGGCAACACGATATTATTCAATCGCCAGCCAGCATCTTTTACGAACCCAAGCCAATAGCTTGAAAGTCCCAATCATGATATGTCCCGGCTTGTCTATATAAATCCTCATCTTCATTAATATCTCAAGCAGTCTCCTACAGATACCTCAAGCTCCATTGAGCCTTTGAAGAATGTCGAGTCTGCTTCACACCTACGGGCCAACATGCCTCCTATATGATCCCGAGGAAAATCCAACAACGAAATCAGACTTCAGCACATCTACAGCTCCTCCAAAAGTCCGGGCACAATTTTTCTACCTCTCATCGTTCCCAATAGATGATCCTTTAACTCCATTACCTGCCGCTTCCGCAAGCTCCAGCAGCTCTCAATCTAGCTTCCCTCCCCGTCCCTTTTCGGTATTGGATAATATTGCTCTGGAGGAGGCATGGCACGGACTTAGAAATGCAGTGGAAGATCAAGACGGCGATGGCACTCTTAAAAGTGGTTCTGGGGAGGACAGAGCTAACACAGCCTGGAGGCAGAAAGTTGACAGACTTATCCTTGAGGCTTTAACAGCTGTTCGCGAATATAGGGATGCTTTTTCGGATCTAAATGTGACCCCGATTAACGAACGACATGATACTTCTTCGATATTTGCTCTCGTTGAAAAACATGCTGCGATATATGGAAGTTCTGAGGGTGGTGAAACGGAAAAGAGGAGGTTTATGGTTTCAACACTAAGAAATGTAATTGAGCAAATTAGCCGGCAAAAGGAAAGTGCCTGGCGACATGATCTACGGCCTATAATTGTTGCGCTATTCTGCGCTGCAGCTAACGAAATCCCGAATCAAGAGAAGGACACTTCTACAAAGGTTGCTGATAAATTTTCTCGGCAAGTCTGTGAACAAGAAGAACCTGCTGGAGCGCCAATCCCAATTCGGATGCCTGCGGAATCAGCTGGCGACGTAGAAGCATCTAGTAATTCGATGGGACAGATCCTTGGTCCGGGTCAAAGTTACAATAGTCCAAAATCTTTGAAACGACATAGCCCTCCGGCAGACCGTAAATCGAAGACTTCGAAACGGATAAGCATATCATCCCCTTGTGGTGATGACGTTTTTGGGTCTTATTCTTCACAGACAGGCAGGCCGATTCCTTCAGCTGGGGTTCATGGAGGCGATACAAATATCACCGGATCGCCATTCATCAGAGCTCCAGCGCGGAGCCCGCGATCAGTTCCTTCACCAAGGTCGCCTGCTACCCCGGGTAGAGCGTCGCATCCACTGGGTGGGATGGTGACAGTTGACCAAGGAAGTGATGTCCGTTCGGCCAAGTCCAGGGTCCATTCAGCTGGCAGCCCCTCAAAGTTTACAGTACCGCGCCTCTCTCCATCGGAACCAGAAGTGACCCCAGTAGAAAGAAAAAAGGAAGCAGATGCTGTTATACCAGTTGGAATATCCAGGTTACATTCAGTGGAACTTCCCAACTTGGAGGTAAGGGATTTCCTTTCTCATTTCTTTCCTCGATTGGAGGTTTCTAACAAGATTTGCAGATGAAACCCATATATTGGAGCCCTATTCATGATATATCTTCCGTTATTCGGGCCACTTGGTTTTATAAGAACACCATGTTACCCGTTGAACCGGAGCTTGCTAACCAACTCGAAGCCGGCTATATGTATATGCGGCCTTGGACCGAAACCTGGCAGGATGAACTTAACAGTTGTATAGAAAACGGAGCGGAGGCAGAGATCAAAATTGTGCATCCAATCTGGCCTCCAGAAGAAGAGGTAAAAGAGCAAAGTGCCATGGAGTCCGGGCATGAGTCAAAGCCATCCAAACGATTGTCGCTCTCGAAGCCGACTGAGACCGAGGCGGGGCTCGATTGTTTATGAGAATCAAGCTGCAGGATCTATGACATTACCTGATGCTCCTAGACCATTCAAGAATTCAAGTGTGATATATGTCGATTCCAAAGAGGCGCAAATTCTGAGACCTAGCCTTTTACCTTCTGCTGCAAGGGGACGACGACCGCTTAGCGCAATTCGCAAAGGAAGACAAATAGGAATTCCCGTTGTTCGAGGATTCAATGCACAAACCTGGGATAAACTCCACCCTGTTAAAATTCCTGCGTCAAGCGGCAGAAGAATTGTGAAAATGCATCAAACTGCTGAAAGGGATATGTTTGACCGGCGCCCTATATGTTACGCCTGCCAAATTGAGGATAGGAGACCAGTTGCTTCTGATCTGGTATTGGTCATACATGGTATCGGTCAAAAATTATCTGAGCGGGTTGAAAGTTACCATTTTACGCATGCTATTAATGCTTTCCGGAGACAAGTCAATATCGAGCTCAATAGTGACGCTGTTTGGCCTCATATGCGCCCAGAACTGGAAAGCATTATGGTTTTGCCTGTCAACTGGCGGTCAACGCTGTCCCTAGAAGACGCTGACATTGAAGCTTCGACCTCCGAGGACCTAGCTACGAACAAATTCAGCCTCAAAGACATCACGCCTGAAACTATGCCGGCAATAAGAAGTTTGATCAGCGATGTTTTGCTTGATGTCCCCTATTATCTATCTCACCATAAACAGAAAATGGTTCAAGCAGTGGTCAAAGAGGCAAATCGGATATATCGTCTCTGGTGTCAAAATAATCCGGGATTTAGAAAAACTGGTAAAGTGCACTTAATTGCTCACTCGCTGGGCAGTATCATGGCAATGGATATTCTGAGTCAACAGCCAACCCATGTAGGCCATATTGATTTTGCGCATACGGAAATCAGCCAGACAATATTTGAATTTGATGCCAGCAACGTTTTTTTCTGCGGAAGCCCGGCAGGCTTCTTTTTGTTACTGAACAAATGTTTGTATCATCTCTCTTCTCATTCAGGAGATCGAACAGAAAGCTAATCCACTTATAGCAACACTTCTCCCACGACAGAATCGAGGCAAGCCAGGAGCAAACGGCGAAGACCTTGAGCGAGGAGTTGCCGGGGAGGCGGGCACATACGGCTGTCTAGCAGTGGACAATCTTTATAACGTCATGCACGATACCGACCGTAAGTTCAATCACCATTCATACCCAGATCTATTCTTTGTCATAAATGCTCATCAATATCTTTATTTATTTATTTATTTATTTATTTATTTTAGCAATCACCTACCGCCTCAACGCAGCTGTGGACAGCGATCTAGCCAACTCTCTCAAACCAGCCTCAGTCCCAAGCTCGTCCACCTCATTCTTTCAAACCTTCACCAGCGTTTTCCGCTGGGGCTCCTTGAAAAGCCAGGATCAGAGCACCACAGATCTATCCGTTCCTTCTGTTTCGCAACAAAACAAACGCCCCGCCGGTATCGCGAAATTACCCTCCAGCGTTGAGATGGAAACGCACGACTTCTCGCGCGAGGAACTCGCGGAGAAGCGTATGGCGCTCCTGAATGATAACGGGCAGATTGATTTTTACATTAGCGGTGGCGGTGTGACCGCTTGAGCATCCAGTATCTGACACATGCTAAGTGCGCATAGCAGTA